TTTTATCCACCTATCAAGTCTTTCCCAAGATGTTGTTGTTTGATGGTGTTAAAGGTATCATCGCAGGACATAAGCTGTTCCAAGTAAAGCTGCCTTTTGCAATTGACTGATGATTCTGTCAATGCCAATGAACTTCAAGTGGTTCTCCAGATGTTTTGGGGTTGTTGTTGTTGTTGTTATTATTATTATTATTATTATTTTCACACATGTATGGGTTGCTGGGCAAGGGGAGAGTGCTTTTTAACATAAAGCACCCCTTCTAAACTGAAAATCAAAATAAGTCTGGTAGCACTTATTTTAGACTAACAAATTTGATCAAAAAGCTTACATTAAAAAAGCAGCTTTCCTTCTGATTTCTGGCTATCATGGACTAACACAGCTGCCCTCCCAGATCAGAAATAATACAGAAAAGCAATTTTGGTCCTCTGCTTTTATGTATACATGCTGCCACCTTCTGGTATTCTACAGAATAAATAGAAATGACCTCCCAAATAAATTTATTTAACATTAGCAGCAAGGGGGGCGGGGGGGGAATCCCTTTGCTGCAGAAGTGACCTATCCCCTGGTTTGCAGTGGTGAGCTAGAAGTAGGCGGGCGGGGAGAAAAACCAACAACCATATATTTACAAAGATGAAACAGAACTTACTGAAACTGTAAGGGGGGGAAAAAAACTATTTCTGTCCTTGGCATTAACAATTTTAACCTAGCTGCTGCAATTAGAGGAAGCAGAAAATGCAAATGTGTTTGACTGGGGGGGAAATGTTTAGCTGAAACAGCTGCATTTTCTTTTCTTTTCAAGTTTCCAGAGGATGGGGAAGAGAAACCTAGCAATGGTACTTTTTGGAAGGGGGTGGGGGAGACAGGAATTACCATAAACATGCATAGGTTATATGTATTTTAACAGACTTTCTGCCCCAAACTCATCAAGATGAGTGGGAGACAACATAAGCCAGTGTTTCTCAACCTTGGCAGCTTGAAGATGTGTGGACTTCAACTCCCAAAATTCCCCAGCCACATCTTCAAGCTG